TTGATATCAAATCTTGTATACAAATGATAAATGTCATTAAAATTAAGTAAGTAATAAGGTAGAATAACTTGGCGCCGACTATTGATATCAAATCTTTTATACAAATGATACATATCATTAGAATTAAGTAAATAAGGATAATATCACATAGGTTTTTAAAGATGGTTCTACTAACCAGCAAATGTGATTGATCAGTTTCACAGTCGATTAAGTAATTGGCGTTGGTGAAACTGGTCCAAATGGTTTTTTGACCAGCAGCACCCACTCTTAGCGCTTCTTTCTACCTTTTTTTTAAAAAGGTAAGTTTTACATATTACCATGAAAATTGACTCATATATTATTGAAGGTGCCAGTTCAAAATAAACATAAGGATAGTACCACTTGGGTTTTTAAAGATTGAATTTAACTTGGTAAGGATAAGATCACGTAGGTTTTTATAAATAAGGACTACATGGGTTTTACTATTTTAAGGATAACATCACGTAGGTTTTTATAAATAAGAACTACATGGGTTTTACTATTTAATTTAGTAAAATTTAATAAGAATAATAACCACATCGGTTTTTAAAGATAGTAGAATTTAGCTTGGCGCCGACTATTGATATCATATCTTTTATACAAGTGATACACATATAACGTTGTAAGTAAATAATTTTCTAGTTTACATCATGGTCTACTAAACAGCAAATATAATTAGTCGGTTCTACAGCCGATTAAGTAATTTGGCGTTGGTGAAACTGGCCCAAACGGTTTTTTATCAGAAGCTCGCACTCTTAGCGCATTTTCTACCTTTTTTTAAAAAAATAAATTTTTTAGTTTTTTTACGTGGTATAAGAACTATATGGGTTTTACTATTTAATTTAGTAGAACTTAATAAGAATAATTACCACATCGGTTTTTAAAGATAGTAGAATTTATAAGAACTACATTGATTGTACTATTTAATTTAGTAGAATTTAATAAAAATAATTATCAATATAACAGTAATAAAGTTATAATATTATAAGATTGAAATAAAATAACAATCTGAACTTAACATAACCTTTGCATAAAATATAAAGTGATCTCAATAAAGAGGTACTTTTCGTCCGTTTTTTAGGCCCTCAAATTTTTAACTACATTGCCAAATAATATCCTATGATTAATGTCTTAATATAAGATTTTTGGCACACAATTCAGTTCCAAAACCTCAAAAAACAAGCGATTTTTGCAATCACACTTTTTAAGAAATTATATCAAATAACATAAAACATTTACGAAAAAACGTATTGGATTACCTTTTATTAATGTCAAAATTACCACAGAAGTAATTAAATCCGCTAATCTGCTCCGCAACCACTAATCTTCTAAATTTGGATGGCCCAACACTGAACTATACTACTGGAACCATATATGAACGCACTCTGAGGCCATCCGCCTGAATAGACAAATAGAGTCATCAGTTCAGTTTAGGTTACTTCGTCCTTGTCGGTATAGTCTGACTCAAGAGTGCTTTCCATGCGTCTGCGCATTTCATTAACTAATCCGATTCACTTCTGAATCTTCGGATCAACAATACTTTTGATTCTGAATGTACGACGGTCGAATGCGCATGCGCCATGAAAGACAGCGATACCTAAAGTAGCTATCTCTATTTATTATGCCATTTCAGAGGACAGAAAGCGTTCCAGTAGTATAGGACGCATTCTGGGTATCGATCATGAAACTTTTCTCATAGGATGAAAAATGAAAAGTGAAAATTTTTACCATTTTAGTTAATGGAGAAATTTTTCACTTTTCATCTTTTCATTTTCCATCTTAGGGAAAAAATTCCATTACAGCTTCACGACGATTGGGGCTCGCGGCGCGCGGCGTTGTGCGCGCCACCGAGCTATCATGGGCGTACACTATTGGTAGTAGGCCGGGTGGACGCACGTATTCGGTAATTTTTACCAATTATTATCTCGTTGACTATTGCGAAAATTGCAAAACGGTAAAGGACTTTTCGACTCAGTTCAATCCGCTCTACCTGTTCATGTAATATTTTCCGGATTGTCTGGGACACCCTATATATGGATTCAGTACGCTCACCGCTCAGTGAGCTCTTCTATCTGTTTCATTTATCTCAATCTGCCACAACCATATATGTAATACTACTATATGGCTAGATGAAAGAGAAGTCCATGTCCCAGAACCACGGTGCGGGAATATACTTCTCTCTCTTTCTCAGTGTACTTTGAACGTTGTGCGCATGCGTCGGATTCATCCCCTCCATCAATGATAAATAGAAGGATAAATATACATATATGTGTAAGGAAGAAGGAAAAAGTGATTGATTCCGCTTCAGGATATAATCTTGTTACAATTAAAAGAGTCAGTTTTGTCGGAATAAATAAATTAATCCTTATTTTATGAAATAAAATTTTTCAAAATTGCCGTTATGTATATAAGAATACAGTGCAATCCCTTACAGAAATTTCATGATAATCAGTGCAAACTAATACCTATTTCATACCTGTGCAAACTAATGTTTTCAGTTGCATTAGGCGCATTAGGCTTTTTGCCACATAAATAACATATCTTGACCATTTTGTCTGTGTACAGCACACATCTAATAAGTATAACGAGCATAACCTGTTCGCGTCATCTCACTGATCGCACTCTATTTTCCTATTGGCGGATGCGATCAATCCAACGCATGCGCACAACATTCAAAGTAATCTTAGAAAGAGAGGGAAATATATATTCCCGCACCGTGGTTCTGGAACCGCTTCCTCTCACTCCCTCTTATAGGCACTAGCCATATAGTAGTATTACATATATGGCCACAACTCGCCGGCTCGCGTAATAAAATATAGCCACGGCAATGTCGCTGCGCCTGGCTTAGCACCGAGACACTACCGTGTTTCCAGATCTAGTGTTTTTAGATTTTTCCCGACAAGAGCGTTCGTGCGCATGCGTAAAGTGACGTCACAGTTTCATGTCGGCTGCTTTCAGAGATGAATTCAGTGCAACTTTTAGGTCCTGTAAAGAGTCCTAAATAAATATTTTTTGTGCAACAGACAGCGCATAACCAGTAGCTCAACTCTCTGTCGACATCTTTGATTGTTAGTTGCCTAAAATGGAGTGCGCATGCGCGAAATAAGTGAGTTACTAGACTGTGCTCTTTCTCTTTTTTCATCCTATTTTCGCTCTGTCAAAACGCATTAGATTCACCTAGATTTAAATATATCGTACATGAAATGCATAATAGAGCATAACATAAAACAGTTGGACCAATAAGCATCCAGCATAAAGTTGCCATATTGTAGGAGCATGTTGGAGAATAAGACGCGAATAAATCTATACTAATGCAATAAAATTCTTAATTTTTCTACATTTATTTCTTTATTTTCCAATATATTTACAATTTATTTGTGTATTAATTTCCATTAAGTTTAGATTATTTTATTGCATTAGTAGATTTATTCGCGCCTCATTCTCTAACATGCTCCTACAATAGTTCTTATTCACTTCAATGCATTCATTGGAGTGCGACGTAAATAAATCTAGTGCGTTTTGACAGAGCGAAGAAAAGATGAAAAGAGAAAGAGCACAGTAATAATTCACTTATTTCGCGCATGTGCACTCCATTTTAAGCAAAGACATAGAGAATGGACTGCGCGATCCCGTATCTATGTAGTATCAAAATGTGTCGACGAAAATGAAAGAGAGGGTCCGTGGAAGACGGCCATCTTTATCTTTTTCCATTCCATGGTGTAATGGAAGAGAGAATGAGAGGGAGATGGCCGTCTTCCACGGTCCCTCTCTCTCATTTTTGTTGACCATTTTGACACACGGATCGCGCAGTCCATTCTCTATGTCTTTAATTTTAGGCAACATAAAATCGAGAGAATTGCGTTACTGTATATACTGTGCTAATACTATTGGCTCCCGCAGACAGAACGCGGAAACGCTTGCCGCTCGGCGGAAGTTGGCACGATAACCAATCAATATCTTGTCAGTAATCAATCTTGCCGGCGAGACGCTGATATCGCGGCAACTTCCGCCGCGCGGCAAGCGTTGCCGCCTTCTGTCTGCGGCAGCCATTAGTCTGTGAGCAAATCACGATGACCGATTCTGATAACGAGTAAGTAAAATATTTATTGTAACAATATATAAGTATTCGTATATTATATTAAAATTGTTGTTATTCTTTTAGTCTGCAGATAATGGACATGGAGATGGAGTTAGTGGCCCTGAGGGCCGAAAATGAAAAATTAAAAAAAATGATTCAGCCCTCAGGGCCGCAGGCCATGGGAGATCCGGCGGCGCCGGCACCAGGACCAGCGGCGATGCAGCCGCCGGCGGCGCCGGCACCGGGACCAGCGGCGATGCAGCCGCCGGCGGCGCCGGCACCGAGACCAGCGGCGATGCAGCCGCCGGCGGCGCCGACACCGGGACCATCGACGACGCAGCCGCTAGCGGCGCCGGCACCGGGACTAGCGGCGATCCCACAAGAAAGACGTAAGTAAAAATTAAAATTACAGTATAATCAGAAGACACGTAGTTTCGCCTTTAGTTTACCCCCCGCCCCCAAATCACTATCTACAGGAGGTCTGCTTTTTATTGCTGCCTTTCCGAAAGGTACAATAAATTGAAGTGAAACAAAAATATACGTTTGTTTCACTTCAACTTATTGCACCAGTTCAGAAAGTATAGCAATTAAAAACAGACAGACCAATGGATTATAATATAATAAGTAATACAGAGTAGAATAATTCTCAATAATTAATTATTTTTATTTACAGCCATGATATAAGTACAAGGGTATGTTATTGCGCATCTAGAAATCACGTGACAAAGAAGTGACCAATAAGAATTGTCTCAAAGTAGACGTCATCAAAACGAGGGAAATTTAAACAGACCATGGGTTAGAAATAAGACTAACTTATGGCTTCAATAAAAGAAATATAAGGAAAAAAATAAAGAACAACGGGAATGTAAAACGAAACTGATATTCGGAAGTAGGCAAAGAAAAGGTTAAAGGACGAAGATTATGAAAAAAAGAAAAGGAACCGGTATAGCACTATTGATTACAGTTATATAATGAAATAAATGAAGAATTGACGAAATTAGAGAGGGTTTAAAATTGATAGAACTTAACATGTAAGAATGTAGATAAGTAATTTGCGAGCATGAAATTATAGGAATAACTAATATGGATGAGTTAAGTTATAGAAATTTGTCCAATACATCGCTGAAATATTGAATAGTACTCTTGAGCTTTTATTTTCATAGTATTTTATCTTTGGCAACGGAGAGCCTTCCTGCAAACTTCCAGCCACTTTAAAACCATTGCATTATCCTTCGGGAAAGAGAAGTATTGAACTTTTCTTCCTGGCATATTTCTCGTTTTTTGGTTATAATTCTTACAACTTTCTACTGCACAGCTCATTTTCGAAAATTCTTTTTATTGTTTATCACTGATGCATGTACGACAACGATAACGAAAACGATGATCAAGGAGCCGAACCTACACGAACCGCTCCGGAAACAGCCGAGGTGATGACGTCAACATTTAAACTCCCCCACCACTCCAATTCCTGCGCAGTGGTCTACCACCGGAATAACATACCCTTGTATTTATATCATGATTACAGCCAGACGTTGGGAAAAAAGTAGGAAGAGCCGCGGCCACCGCGGCTCATACCGCGGTGAACGAGGCTGGGGAGGCCGTGGAGGCCGTGGACAGGGAAATTACAAAAATATATATATATTAGGGTGGAGCGAAAAAAAAAAAAAGAAAAAGTGCCCCTCTAAAAAGGTTCTATTTTGGTCAAAATATGTTTGGAAATTTTTTCAGATTTTTAAAATTTTTTTTTACTGACGAAATTTAACATTTAAGTCCAAAAAATATGTTGTATAGTCTGGAATCAAAAATTCAACATGGCGGTTCCCAAAATGGCGTCCAATTCAATTTTTTTTTTTATTATGTATTCTTAATAATTATGTATCCTTAGGCCTAATAGAGCGAAGTAAATATTGAATTTATGAAATCATTGCAAAATTTATCAATAAAAATTGTTTCTTATTTCTACTTGTAGTAATAATAGTATTATTTCAGGAAAACCTTTTTTTCACTTATTATGCAATATTATGCATGAAAAATTACTATAATTTTTAAGATACCTGTGTTCTGCAAATTTCAAAATTTTTTCATTTACTTCATTATATTGAAAGTGCCTTACTCATTGTAACTACTACTGTACTCAGAAATACTATCAGGTGCATTCCGAGGTGTTCAAAAAATATCGAACCCCCCTATCTGATTCTCGAAAATATTCATTTTCATCAAAAACGTCTCAGACAAAAGTTTTATAATTTTGATCGGGGAATCCGATGGCGACATGGACTTTGACCTCTGACGTGGCCGTGATGGTCATTCGAAGGTCAGCTTTGAAATTTCAATTAAAAACCTTTATTTTTGGCTTCGGAATTAAAGCGTCTTCAAAATTTAAAAAAAAAAATTGAATTTGGACGTCATTTTGGGAACCGCCATGTTGAATTTTTGATTCCGGACTATACAACATATTTTTTGGACTTAAATGTTAAATTTCGTCAGTAAAAAAAAATTTAAAAAATCTGAAAAAATTTCCAAGCATATTTTGACCAAAATAGAACCTTTTTAGAGGGGCACTTTTTTTTTTTTCGCTCCACCCTAATATATATATTAAAAATATATACAAATTATATTTTAAATAAAAATTTTTAATAATACATATTTTAAATATTTTTATATTACAATCCCTTTCCTTACACTTTCCTAATCTTCAAATTGAAAGAAAATGCCTGAAAACAAAAGGCAATGATTTAAAACGGCTGCGTTTAGGAACCTAGATAATTCTAGGCTATAGTTTACGTTACGTATAATATTATAGCAAAAATGCACCCAAGAGTTACCTAAGCGTAAT